AAAAAAAAAAAAATTATAGAATATTAAAAAATCTAAATAAATGGAAAGTCACATGTTCCCACATGAAAAGACTGTAAATACCAAATCCCTCCAAATTAATTTATAAAAACTATATATACTGCCAATCCAAATCCCAATATACTAAGAGGTAGAGTACTTTGACATGCTGATTACAAAAATCATCTGAAAAACATATAAGCAAGAGCTAGGAAATTTTTTCAAAATGACCAACAATGAGAAATTTACCCAATTACTAGATTTTATTAATAAAACATGAAAATCTATTATAGTAACCTTTCATTTACCTAAGTGGCAAAATTTAAAACACATTATTAATGGCAAATGTAGAGGAAAAGTCATCACCTACATAGTAATAGTAAGAAAAATCGTCTATAATCTAGACATTCTTTGTTGGAATCTATTCCTAAAAATATTCACACAAATCAGGACAGATATCAATATACAGATAAGTTTTAAAGACAAAGTAGTACTGTCTAATGAATGACCTCAAGAGCTCTTACTGGGTTGCATGACAGCAAGCTACCAAAATGGGGCCTCCCCTTCCCATACAATAGGAGGAGTTATACCCCATCTCTATTACTCACAGAACTAAAGGGGCCCAAAGTCTCTAGGTGTTCTGGCGACCAGAATGTCCAAGCACCTCATGAACACCTTGTATCTAAGTTCACACTACCTGGCACCCAAGTCCATTGTGTTTACCTATCTGCAAGGCCATTCTCTTTGCCTTACAAGAAGGGAGAACAAAAGAAGGTAGAGGTACCTCTGGTGAAGCACCTGCACTTTGGGAAAGCTCACTTTACTGCAAGAATGTCAAGGATTTAAGAACCTATGCACTTGCTGATCCTTACCCCCATAAATTCCAGCCTACACCAAATAATGTTTATTGTTCCCTTTCCTCCTTACCCAACAATATTCAGTGAAGTGTTGTTAAAAAAAATTAAAAAACATCAATAACTAGAAACTATATGCCTAAGGAGAAACTATATATAGACATTAAAAACAATGAAATCTGTATAAACAGGTATATATAGATATCCATGAAGTACTTTTGAGGGGGTGGGGGGAGCCACAGAACAAATTACAACTAGTAGTTTTAACACATGCAATCTTTGTCTAAAAAATAAAAGACCCATACATATACAAAAAAAAAAAAATGGAACAGTGCTTTTACCACATGGGCATGGCAAAGCACTGGGGATATTTCTGTGCAATAACTGGACATTTTTTCATCAATGATTCAAGCATCCAAATGGATAGGTACATAATCGAAACTTCAGTTCCTAACAGTTTCTTTATTTACTGTTTATGCACAAAATGGAATTTTAAAAAGATTTTTGAATCTTGAAGATTTTTTGAAACAGAGGAAAATTCACCTATCACTGCACAAGCTCCCTTCCAATTTCCAAAATAATCCCATAAGGTATTAATGTACCCATTGAGAATTACTTACAAGTCAAGACCCCAAACTCAGAAAAAAGTTAAAAGAAGAAAGAATGTAGGTAATTTAAAGCCAAAGATTCACTGACACTTAGAACCTTTTACCCTGCAAGGTTCTTTTGTTTAACCAAATCTTATGGATAAGAAATAAAAAATATTAACATTACTATTTTAAGCCTAAAAATAAGCATAAAATATACAACATCATTCAAGTACTATTAGTGCATTTGGCTCTTATACCCTGTCTTGCCTCCAAGGTACATACTGTTAAAAGAGCTTAGTTTATGAAACCTTCCTCCATTTACATTTTGAAAACCACTCTACCCTTGATACATTTTATAGACCACGGCCTCCCAAAGTAGAGACCAAAAGAAACTAGAGTCATTTAAGACCCAAAAGGGTGGAAGAAAAAGAACTAATACTAGAGAATATTAAAGAGCATTTCAGATGAAAGGAAAAGAATATAAATTCCACAGAACAGAGATGCAGTGGGTCATATATGTAAAATTTCCTTTCCTATTCTTCAAAATGACATTTAGAAATGCTCAGCCCAACCCCAAAGTATACAACTCTCCTCAATTTTACCTGATATTCTCACCTTAGACCAGTGGCTTTCACTCAGGGGTGACTTTGTCCCCCATGGGGATTTGGCAATGGAGCCCCAGGAGGTCGGGAGAGTGTTGGTGTACTAGCAGCATCTTGTGGGTAGAAGCAAAGATCTGCTGTCCATGATGCACAGGACCTCACCCACAACAAAGATTAACCAGAACAAAATGTCAACGTCTAAGAAACACTGACTTTGAGGTCCCTAAAATAATTTGGAGCCAAAAGACAGGAATTCACTCAACTTACTACCAAATCTAAAACCTACCTCCATCTGTATTCATATGTTAGTCCTTCCTTCTGCCAAGTACCTGTACTCCTATTTATGGCCAATCCTTTCACATTAAGACCCCCAACGCTTTTGCTTTCTCAAAGACACTGTACCTGCAATAGTATCTTCTCTTCCCTCTAAAAATTTCTCCTACTCCACTGAATCCTAAAGTATACAAACCCTAGTAACTTCCAATAAGCACAGAGATATACACACAACCACCTCAAATAAAAACACCTCCCTTGACCCCACTTCTTACTCCCTTAGAAAACAAAAGTTCTTGAAAAGTTTTCAGCATTCCCTATCACTAATTCCTCACCTCCCAGTCCACAGTTAACCCGGCTCCAACCTGAGCACCCAAATGCTCCACTGAAACTATCACCGCTGACCAAAACCAGCAGCCACTTCTCTACCCCTCTCACTATACCTCTCAACAACACTTCCAACTCCCTACTTGACACCTCCACTTGAATATTTAGGATAGGCACTCTGAAGGTAATTTGTCCAAAATACAGCTCTTTTAACATGACTTAAAAGTCAAACAATTTGGCTCCCGTCTTCCTCTTGATCTCGCTAGTACCAAAGTGCAACCCCCAACACCACACTTCAGCCAAATAGGCCAAACTCATCTCTGTCTAAAAGCTTCTGTATTTGCTGTTCCCTCTCCCTAAAGGCTTTCACCTCTGGATCTTCACCTGACTGGCTCTTCCTCATCCAGGTCTCAGCTCAAGTAACCTGTTTCAGCAATTTGGCCTTCCCATGCCCCTATGTGAATTACCCACAACTTAGACTTTCATAGCAATCTGTTATATTTCCTCATAGAATGTACTGCTTGAAGTCAGCTTGTTTTATTTACTGTTGGTCTGATCTTACAGAATGTAAGCTCCATGAAAACAGCAGCCTCATTTATTAATCTCCAGCACCCATGTATGTCAGGTACATACTACATGCTTAATAAGTATTAAGCAAATAAATGTATTTAAGGTGCAGTGAAGAATACAAAGTTCTAAGACAAAATCTGAGAGCAGAAATGAGGCAGTACTGGAGAGTTAAATCCAGACATCTAAGAGAGATTAATCACTGGAGGAGGGGAGTAAGAGATGAACATTTTAGCTGCCAAAACACAAAATGTTCCAATGCCATATCTTAATTACTAATTTTTTAAAAAAAAATTTTATACATTGGTATAAAATAAAAAGTATTTGTTTATGTTAGTGTCAACTTTATAGTACTCACTAGGAATATATATATATATATATATATATATATATATAAAATCTAGTGAGCAAAGAGCTCTGAAGCCAGATTGCAGAGTTTCAAATCTTGGCTACAGCACCTACAAGCTGTATGACCTTAAATAGGTTACTTCACCTCTCCAGACTTTGGTTTCCTGCCCATAAAATCATGGATAATACTATACCTCACAGGGTTGTTTGGGTGATTAAAGAGTGTTAATATATATTAATCAATGAGAACAGGATCTGACACAGTAAACATTCAACATGTTAATTACTATCTTTATACAGCACTTGGCACATGCTAAGTGCTCAATTAATACTTTCTAAATAAATGAGTGACCGGGGTGCCTGGGTGGCTCAGTCAGTTAAGCATCTGACTTAGGCTCAGGTCTTGATCTCAGGATCCTGGGACTGAGCCCTGCATCTCAGGCTGAGTGCTCAGTGGGAAGTCAGCTTGTCCTTCCCCTCTCTCTCTGCCCCTTCAACCATTCATGCTCCCAGGAAGGGAGTTGTGCTCTCTCTCTCTCCCAAATAAATAAAATCTTTTAAAAATAAATAAATACGTAAGTGAGTAAGTGACCTACAGTAAATAACTAGTTTTCACAGCAATCATAATGTATCTAAACCTAACTACAAAAATGTTTTCAAATTATTTAAGTCCAGTTGGCTCAATTCAGGAACTTATTTTGGAAGCATGCAATACTGAGTTAACTGTAATAATATTTCATTCAAATACTGAAGTATCTACTCTGTGCTAAACACTTGGGATACAAAAATAAACAAGACACAGTTCCTGCCTCAAGAAGCTTAACTATTAAGAAACTTAAAAATATGTTAATTGAAAGATAACTCAGAAACCTTCCAGTCCAACACCCTTCATTTTAAAAATGAAGAACCTGAAGTCCAGAAAACTTAACTAAGTTGGCCAAAGATACAGCCTAGATAGTAAAGAGTCAAGACTAGAAGTCAGGTCTTGTAACTCCCAACTAGCTTAGTGGTCTTTTCCGCATGCCATACTGACTCAAAGTACTCAATGTGAAACAGATTTAGATTTTGATCCACCACTAACAAAATCCCTGCTAAATTACTTATTTACTGCATTAATGTAAATCAACTCAAACTTCAAGGGAGCTATGAGAGACACAAAAATAAACTATTGTGATTATGTAATACATTTTCGGATCAACAAAAGGGATTCTTCACATTTGGAGGGTTGGTGAATTAGTAGTTCTTTAGTCAGTTAAGAGTCTGTTTCTAGTCTTCCATGGTGGTTGTCCCATTCTCAGTCTCTATGCTGCATTTCCACTCACATTTATTCCCTGGAGACAACAATAAAAGCACAATATATACTGGACTGCTAAACTTAAACACTTAATTGCCAAGAACTTGAAAGGGGAAAAAAAAAAATCACATAGTATGATAGTAATTACCTTAAATGTACCATTTTGATTTTTCATGTAAGAAACCAAAAATATATCCACTGGTAGAAGTGCTGATGTGATAAGTGCAATCGCCAGAGAAAAAATTGCTGTTATGGTGGAGACAACTTCACTTTCCCGCTGACTTTGGTATTTACGAACATATATCCAACAGAATGCCAAAATAGCCTGAAAGAGAACAAAAAGAATGTTCTGTTACTGCCCTATGCATTCTCTAACACAGATGATAGTATGTGTTTGAAAGTTTCCAATGAGAAACTGTCAAATGAAGTTTCTTTTGGATGTATAAGGAAGGTCCACTACCTCTTATAAACTTGTTCAAGATTTATAATTTTCAAAGCCTATTTCATGAATGCAGTACAACCTCCCTTAGGTGCAAAGACACATTCACACACAAAACTTATTGATACCAGTGCTCAATTACATATATCCTCATTGAACCTCATTAATGGTTTCACACAACGTCATAGTTGTAATTAGTTTTGAATGCTTTTCACCTATAGATTTCTCCAACCTAAATAGAATATAACTTGAAGTGAAATTAACTTCTGCCCCATTATTACAGTTCAAGAATACCATTCAGCTAAAGATTAACTGCCAATAATCACCATGTATTGACAAATTATACTATAATTCAAATTTTAAAGGGCCTTAAACAAAGAAAAGTGAACATTTAAAATGAGTACACGTGCACTGCAAGGAACTTTCCAGTGATAAAAATAGACTCAGAGATACTGAGGATGACATCTGTAATCCACCAGGTACTCTTAATAGTTACCAATGCCTTTCTAATGACTAACACAGAGTATAGGACTTTACTCAAGATTCTCCAACTTTAGGGAGTATCAGAATGATCTGGAGGGCTTCTTATAGTAGAGAATGCTGGGCCCCACCCCCGGTTTCAGATTCAGGGGTCTGGAGCAGGCTCAGAAAAATCTATTATTTGTAACAAGTTCCCAGGTGAGGCTGCTACTGGTCCAGGAACTACATTTTAAGAAGCTCTGCTCTACTCAAATTTAGGGAATTGCAGATAGGTACTAAATCAGTGATTCTCAGCCTAGGCTGTGTTAGAATCACCTGGGCAGTTTTTAAATACCCTTATGCCGAGGCACCTGGGTGGCTCAGTAGTTAAGCATCTGCCTTCGGCTCAGGTCATGATCCCAGGATCCTGGGATCAAGCCCTGCATCAGGCTCCCCGCTGGTAAGCCTGCTTCTCCCTCTCCTGCTCCCCCTGCTTGTGTTCCCTCTCTGGCTGTCTCTCTCTCTGTCCAATAAATAAAAATAAAATCTCTTTAAAAAAAATAAATACCCTTATGTCTTCCCCACAAATCAATTCAATCAGAGTGAAGCTCCTCCAGGCAACAGCACTTTAAAAAAGCCTGAGGAGGGGCACCTGGGTGGCTCAGTCAGTTAAGCGACTGCTTTAGGCTCAGGTCACGATGCGGGGGGGTTCTGGGATCAAGCCCCGCGCTGGGCTCCCTGCCCAGCAGGGAGTCCACTTCTCCCTCTGTCCCCACCCCCCACACCATCCCCCCTCCTGTTCTCTCTCTCTCAAATAAATAAAAATCTTAAAGAAATTAAAAAAATAAAAATAAAAAAGCCTGAGGATTCCAATCTGAGCCAAACTTGAGAACTACTGCTTTTGTTTCCCATTTTATTGACGTATAGTTGACACACAATGTTACATTAGTTTCAAGTGTACAACACAGTGATTCCGTAACTCTACTCCCCTATGCCATGCTCACAAGTGTAGCTACCATGGGTCGCCACACAACACTATGGTATCACTGACTCCCATGCTGTACCTTTCATCCTCATGACTTACTCGTTCCATAGGAAGCCTGTACCTCCCACTCTCCACCCATTTTGCTCATCTCCTCCCTTCCGGCAGCCAACAGTTTGTTCTCTGTATTTACGGGTCTGTTTCTGGTTTTTTGTTTTGCTTTTTATATCCCACATGTAAGTGAACTCATATGGTATCTGTCTTTCTGTCTCTGACTTATTTCACTCTCTAGGTTCATCCATGTTGTGACAAATGACAATGGAATATTACTGAGCCATAAGAGAGAACCATTGTTTTAAATAAACTCTATTAAGAGCTCTGAAACAAAAGCGTTGTTTTGTCCTTTCACTCTTTTCAACAGATTCAACTGTTACTTCCTTTGTGGGTATCCTAGTTCAGGAGCCTGAACTGAACTAACACCACCACCTAATTTGTTTCACAGCTTCCAAATTCCCCTACCACAATCAAGATGTAAGAACAGTTCCACCACCGCAGAAAAATCCCCTTTGCCCTGTGTAGTTAACCCCTCTCTCTACTCTCCACCCTTGACAACCACTATTATCTGTCCCTATAGCTTCTGCCTTTTCCATAATGTAATAATGTACTTATATAGCATATCATCTTCTGAGTCTGGCTACTTTCACTTAGGATAATGCATTTTAAATCTATCTAAGTTGTTTCATGTAATTCCTTCATATTACTAACATTTCAGCTGGTGTCAGAACAGCAGGAAAAAATAAAGTGAGAAGAGAATGTAGACTTTGGAACCCGGATGTTGGAGGAAAAAAAAGACCTAGATTCAAATCCTGGCTACTTACTAATTTATTTTTGTTTGGGGAAGTTATTTTCTCATGAATTTATATTAATATTTAATGGATTTATTTAAATGAATTCACAAATATTTAAAACATTCTTCTAATTATTTTGAAGCCACTGGAAGCTGAGCTTAATCATTCTATCTTTAGCAGGACCTGACACAAAGTATTCAATAATTTTTTTGATGAATTTCAAAAAGATCTGCACTTTCACCAAGTTCAAAGTGACGGGTATTATGGCAGAGGAAGCCGTTTGCCAATACCAGGCAGACAAGCAGGGAAAGGGCAACACAGCCAAAATAGTTAAGCCAAAGGATCCTGAACTTTTTGGTCTCAGGATCCCTTTATACTTTTAAAACTGAGAACCCCAAAGAGCTTTTTGTTTATGTGGGTTAAATTTATCAGTAGTTACTATATTATAAACCAAATGTCATCATCTATAAAATAGTAGTAAGAATACTTCATAGTACGTTATAAGCATAAAATAAGATGTAAAGAGTTTATAACACAGTGCCTGGCCACAGTAACTGCTTACCAAACAGCAACTGTCATATGAATTGTCATATGTTAATAAATCATATGAAACCAAATGTCATATGAAATAAGAGCCTTTCATAAGAGAAATATATGATTTTGCTAACAATCATAAAGGTTTAGAGCAAGCCCTAGCCCCTCCCACAAGATTCTAATTTAATTGGCCTGGGCATTAGGATTTTTAAAAACTCCCTAGTTGGTTTTGATGAGCAATCAAGGTTGACGACTGTGGCAGAAGTAGGAATGAGAAGAGATGAATGTTTCTTAAACTAATAAGCATATACACTGCCTGGGATCTTGTTAAACTGCAGATTCTGATTCAGTAGAGCTGGGGTCTTATATTTAGTATTTCTAACAAGTTTCCAAGTAATCATCACTTTGAGTAAGAAGAATAAACTTGCTTTACAGAAATGAAGACTCTGTCTTATATAGCAAAGGGAAATGTAATTGAGGATCTTGGGGGACTTAAGAAGAAAGGCTTAGATTTCGTAAAAGAAACAAAGTTAGATTATAGGATTGGAGGACCAAACCTAACCCATGTGGCAGAAGACACTGAAGTCCACCCTGTTTTCCCAGGATCACTCAAGTAGTCAATCTTAGTGTTCTGATTCTTTAGTAGATTATTGGCAACAGTTTTCAAAGTGTGAAGTCCTCCAACCCCCAGCAGTCCCAGAATCCTTTCTGGGGATTTACAAATTGAAAACGATGCTCATAATACTAAAAAGTCATTTGCCTTTTTCACTATGTTGATACCTGCACTCATGCTGCATTAAGTCAGTGGTAAAACTGCTGACAAATTAAGCATGAATCAAGTCAATGGCACCAAATTGTGCCAGTAGTTATTGTATTCTTCACCACCACATATATACACATACACACACACACACAGAGGACAATGTAAGACTTTGCTTAATGAAGCAGTAAAAATTAACTTTATTGAACTTCAACCCTTGAATCTTTTCAATACTCCATGGGGAAAACGGTGAAGTATGCATTGGAGCTCTCCTGCTGCACATCAAGGTGTTATGGCTGTCCCGAGGAAAAGCACTACCAGTAACTTAGGAGCTGAAAGCCACATCAGACACTCTTTTCAAGGTGTATCACTTTTACTTGTAAGTACAAGTGGTTAACTATGGTTATTCAGACTCGGATGTCCGGCATATTTTGTTGAAATGAACAAAGGGAACCTATCACTTCAAGAAAAAACAACAGACAGTATCCATTCCCAATGATAAAATTCAAGCTTTCAATGAAACTTAGAATTTTGGAAAACTTGTATCCATCACTGCAAGCTTGACAGTTTCTCAATACTTTTTTTCTGGGACATTTCTTCTAACAAGATCAGTGGTGAAGTTAATGAATGGGATATTTTATTATTATGTAATGAAATATATCCATATTTGGAATATCTGCATAACTCAGTGAACCAGATTTTCTAAATAATCAATGCTTCATGTTATAAAACCATGCACAGCAAAAGATCCAAAGTATGACATGGACCAACAAATTTTAATGTAACAGAATGAAAAGTTTAATGATAGGATTTCAGATTCCACTGTTTCAACTAACCTTTAGAAAGCTTCCAGTTACTGAGTTTTGGTGTGGTATTTAAGAACATCCACAATTATCTAAAAAATACTCCTCTGCTTCCAAGGACATACCACTAAAATAGGATATTTTTCATATACTTCAACCAAAACAACACTCAACTGAATACACAAGCAGACATGAAAATCTAGCTCTCTTCTAATAAGCCAGGAATTAAAGAAATTTGCAGAAAATTAAATAGCCCTTATTACTAATTTTTTTCTACTCCGACATCTAGTTTCAAACTCAATTCCCTTCTCATTTTACTTTTTCCTTCTGTACTATCACCAACTTTAATACCTTCCCTTCTTCATCTATCCAAAGTCTACCTCAATTCCACTTTCTTCCAATATTGCTCTCTATTCTCTGCAGTCCTACTTCATTTATAAAATTGTACTTTGGTTTTCAGTACTTAAATCTGTTTTAAGAATTTCTGTTCTCGGGGCACCTAGGTGGCACAGTCAGTTAAGCGTCCCACTCTTGGTTTCAGCTATGGTCGTGATTTCAGGGTCATGGAATCTATCTGGGCACAGGGATCCACACTCCCACACTCAGCGGGAAGTCTGCTTAAAGTTTCTCTCTCCCTCTCCCTCTGCGCTCCCCCCCAACCAAACCAATAAAAAAATAAATCTTAAAAAAAAAAGAATTTTTGTTCTCCCATTATCTTCAGGATCTCTTTTTGTTTTGTTTTTTGTCTTTTTGTTTTTTTGTTTTTTAAGATTTTATTTATTCATTTGAGAGAGAATGAGATAGAGAGAGCATGAGAGGGGGGAGGGTCAGAGGGAGAAGCAGACTCCCTGCCGAGCAGGGAGCCCGATGCAGGACTTGATCCTGGGACTCCAGGATCATGACCTGAGCCGAAGGCAAGTCGCTTAACCAACTGAGCCACCCAGGCTCCCTCTTCAGGATCTCTTAAAGGCCATTTTGTTTTGTTTCCATCCTCCCACAATTTATAGCACAACTCATATACATTAAACGTTTATTAATGCATAACTGCCAAGATATTCCCACTAGACTTTGATACTGGTTACATGCTCGTTTGTTTTTTCCTAAACCAACTGAATATGATGGTCTGGAAAAGCTAGTGAACTCCTCAAGTACCATACTGGATGGGCTTTGGGAAACAGCGCCACCCTTTACTGTTTCCATTTTCTCCACCAAGAGGAGTAAAGTATGCTGCAGTGTACAGGCACTATTATTTTCCGGGAGAGTGAAGGTAGCAAGAGATAACTTTCCAGAAGTTTTCACACTTTTTTTTTTTTTGGTAAAGTTTCTGCTGAAACATTTACCAGCAAAACATACTACTTACTACCTAGGTTGCAGACACTGTAGTGGAATCTAACAAATACAAGTCTTGATTTCCCAAACTGAAGTTAGTGGGTTTGGGGGTTGATTTTGTTTTTTGTTTTAGTAATGCAACGCAGCAAAATACTTTGGGACACAATGCTACAACAGGAGGATAAAGACAATGAGGAAAGACAGTGAGAATGGGGAGGGGTATGGAGAGAAATAAACTGAACCCCCAAATAAAATAAGCCCAAGGGTTTTAATATGACGCAAGGAAGTAAAAACTAGGCCATTTGGGCTACGGAGGCCCACGTTCTGATCACTGGATAAACGGGAATAAGATGGTAGGGAAAGAAAGCACCTCAGTTCTCATAGGCTGTAGTATATACACCCTGATACTGGCAGTAAAGAGGGCTACAGCTCTTCCCTGCGTAAGTTTCTACATCCATCAAAAAAGACTGGAAAGGAATGTGAAACCTGGAAGTCAGAACGAACATCTCACGTCATCAAGGCAGAATCGCACAATGGGTAGAGAAGGTTGGAGACTCAATAACCCCAAGGGTAGGGAACACGGACAAACCCCAGTTAAAGAAGCAAAGAGGCCCCCTTCCAGATCAAGGCCAGCGGCTACTGAACTTGCAAAGATCAGGCGCCGCTGCCCCACACCTTGTGCTCACGTCTCACATGGGGACCAGAGGCCACTTCTCCCTTCTCAACCCCCAGGGTCTCCTCGGTCCCCAAACTCCACCCGTCCCAGTGCCCTAGTCAGGGAGAAGGCCAAGAGTTCCGAGAATGGGAACCTGCAATATTAGACGTCATCAGGGAAAAGACAGCAAAGACGGCCGGAAATCCGTGCCTCCTTTCCCCACTCGGAGCGCAGCCCCCGCCCCGGAGCAGAGGAGCCCCCCGACAGTCCAAACTACAAGTGGGGCGGGGCGGAATGAGGAGGGTCTCCCGGGCCGGGAAAGGCCAGCTACAAGGCCGGCCCCTCCCTCTCTCCCACCAGTCCAAACACTGGGAAAACTACGAGCACCTCCCCTACCAGTAGTAAGAGGCCGAATATACACCAGCCGATCACCAGCTCCGCCGAAGCCGCGCCAGCAGGCGCCGCCGCCGCCATCTTCACTTCCGGCCCGGACTCCTGGGGTAAAGGGGGTGGGGAAAAGGGAGGGGGAAAGGGGAAAGAGTGCGAAGGACACAGCGCCCGTGCACCCTAAAGGTTAAAGGGGCGGAGGGGGCGGAGCAAGTAGTTGCCAAGGAGACCCAACCCTCGAGCGTCCCCTGGCGTTGAGCCGAGCGGGGGCGGGGCGCGCCCGGGACGCCGTGACGTCACCGCGCTGCCCGCTCCTGAGGCGATGAGAAGGTTCTACGTGAGGGTGTTGTTTTACTGCGCAGCAACCTTGTTGGGATAATTGAATCGGACTCAGCTGATGGACTGGAAAAGCGAGGAGACTGCACAAGGGCCTGGATTGCGTTTTTCTAGAAATTCAAGCCAACGTTAAGGAGTTTCGACTTCCTCCTGGGAAGAAAGTTTGGCCCTCATGTCCAAGACAGAATGGGCCATGTAGTTAGCAGAGCTCACTAGGTTGCGGGAATGGCTGTCTGAAGAAAAAGTTTGCCTGATGGCCACATGACTTTCTAATTTGCTGGCATTGGGGCCCAGCCTGAGTAACTATTTTGCTGGACATTGCCTTATCACATGATGTTGTAGACTTTCTATTTAGCTCTATACATACGTGGATTTCAGTAATGACTTTGTGAACATATTCAAGGTGAAATTGCAGGCTGTGGTACTTGTTTAAGATTTTATTTTAAGTAATCTCTGCACCCAGTGTGGGGCTCAAAGGTCAAGAGTAGCACGCTTACCAACTGAGCCAGCCAGGCAACCCTGTGGTGGTGTTCTGCCTCTTCCTCCTAGTCTCCTAATCCTCTCCTGAGGGCTCCCTTGGCTAGAAGGAAAGGTCTAAGACAACCCCAGGCCAGTTTTCTCCCTTTTCCCCATGGCCCTAATCCCCTCTATAGGAAATGGTTGTGCATAACCTGCATAACAACCTTTGGGAGCACAGGCCAATCTCAGTGTAGCTGTAGTCTCCTACTTCTACCATCAAAGCAATCAGCCCTTCTTGGATATCCCAGAAGGAATCAGCCTGCACTCCACAGTTTGCTGTAGTTTTCCCAGGCCTGAGTCCAGTACCATCCCTCTGTATCTCTTAATTGCTGGAAACATATTTCAGATTCTTTAAGTGGCTCCCTTGAGGCCTCCCTTACTAGTCTAAGGGTTAGATGGGAACATCATAGCCCTATGTTTCCCCACCCCCAAACACACACTGTCCGTTGGGGTTAAAGGTAGAAATCCACAAACCAGGAGCAATTCTTATGAAAGAAATCTCTTCAAAAAAAATGAAGGAAAGAAAGAAAGAAATCTCTTCAATTTTTCTGCTCCCCACTCCTATCTATTTACTGACATTTTATTTGGCTGAGGGGTTCAAGAATTGTAGAATAAATTCCTTTCACAGCCCTTTATAATTCTCATATGAAGGAGAATTTATGGCTAGGAAGGAGACAAAGAGTTAAAGACTATAATCTTCCCCACCACTTTAAATTTTATGTGAAATTGGAGTTTTTAGCAAGACCAAACTGAACCTTTTTAATATCTGATATACTGTCCATTGAATTAAGCCCGTTTAATAAACTGCTTTAGCTCTTTTGCTGACTCTAAATGCCTAAGTATTGGGGTCCTGTTGGGTAATTGCTTGATTTCAGGTAGGAAAACCTTACAAACCTGTGTTGCTGATAAGTGTGACTACTTACAAGAATTGTAATAGTTTGAATCAGGAAAATTGGGAGAGAAAAGAAAGAGAATGTGAGGCATCTGGACAGGTAGAGAGATGCGCATGTCTCTCCATTCTTCAGCTTAGTCAGGATGTACTATTCATTTCACATGCAGACCAAGCCAGCAAGGATGAAACACATTCTCCTGGATGATGTTCTTAAATCTAAGAAGCCTCCAATTATAGACCAGAACTCTTTAAAAATAATAATCTTTATTGGTTGTTTGTAATTATAAAAGATTGCTCACGTTTAAAACTTCCAAGCATGAATAATTTAGAAACTGAAAAGGTCCTAATAAATTAACACAGTTCTCCTCATGCCAAGATGCTTGCCTTTAAGAGCTTTAAGGATTTTTGTGTGTGCATTCTAATATGTTCCATGAGGGTGCAAAAAACCAACAGATAATCCTTTCCTGCTCCCCGAGTGCTATAGACTGAATATTTGTGTCACACACACACACACACCCAAATTCGTATGTTAAATCCTAAAGCCCAGGGTGATGGTATTTGTTGGTAGGGCCTTTAGGAGGCACTTAGGTCATGAGGGTGGAGCCCTCGTGAATGGTTAGTGCCTTTATGGGAAAAGACCCCAGAGAGGTCCCTTGCCCCTTCCACCATATCAAGTTACAGTGAAAAGACAGTACTAATGAACCAGGAAACAGGCCCTAGCCAGATACTGCATCTGTTGGCACCTTGATCTTGCACTTCCTGGTCTCCAGAACTGTACAAAATAAATTTGTGTTGTTTATAAAGTCACCCGTTTATGGTATTTTTGTTATAGCAGCCTAAAGAGACTAACACACCTGGCATTATAAAAGAATGCCCTTGCCCTCCTCCCCACCTAAGTACTCTTAGGAAGGTACCAGGATTTCTGTGGACTCCGTTACATTTTTTTTTCAAGATTTTATTTATTTATTTGAGAGAGAGAGAATGAGAGACAGAGAGCATGAGAGGGAGGAGGGTCAGAGGGAGAAGCAGACTCCCTGCCGAGCAGGGAGCCCGATGCGGGACTCGATCCCGGGACTCCAGGATCATGACCTGAGCCGAAGGCAGTCGCTTAACCAACTGAGCCACCCAGGCCGCCCCATTTTTTTTTTTAAGATTTATTTATTCATTTGAGAGAGAGAGGGAGCAGGAGAAGGGGCAGAGAGAGAGAGAGAGAGAATCCCAAGCAGACTCCACACTGAGCACGGAGCCCAGTGTGGGGCCAATCCCAGGACCTCGAGATCATGACCTGAGCTGAAACCAAGAGTTAGATGCTTAACTGACTGAGCCAGCCAGGCACCCCAACTCTGTTCCATTTTAAGTTCAAAGAAATGGCCATGTAGAGCCCATCACTCCCAAGGGATTTAATAAGAGAACACATTGCAGAAAACCTTCTATCAAAACTTAGGCCCATTGACTATGTTAAGAGGGCTAGAGCCCTCTGGAGGAAAGCAACATTTGTAAGAGAACAAGTATCCTCCCCTCATTCCTCTATCCTTCAGCTTTTAAGTAGTCCCCCTCCCCTAAAGACAGTGAGAGGAGGAAACACAAGAGAATCACCCATATGGTTAAAAGGTGTGACCTGAATTTCGGGAGAGGCCCAGCATCTTGCTGTAAGTGCTGAGAGTGGCTGACTCAGAGTTGCCTGGTGCTGAGCTAGCAAAGAAACCTGTGCTGGGAATATTTTGGGCAGAAAGGGTGTAGATTAGCTCGTCCCCATCCTTATTCCCAACCCCACCCCACAAAAGCCCATTAAATTCACACTGAAGGCTTTGGTAGAAGACTCCTGAGAACCACCCTATCTAGGTGCTTCTTCCTGTGGACACATTCAGCAACCTCTACTGGAGGAGGCCTTTCTAAGAATTCTCTTGGTCTAGCCCAGGAACATGTGGACAGCAGAAAGTTGGGGAAGTAGCCCCAAGTGGGACAGGCAGTGATGACCTACAGAAAGGTCACCTTATTACCAAAACCAGACAAAGATGGAATAAACAAAACTACAATGAGGGGCACCTGGGTGGCTCAGTCAGTTAAGCGTCTCCCTTCAGCTCAGGTCATGATCCCAGGGTCCTGGGATGGAGCCCCGAGTCGGGCTCTCTGCTTGGTGGAGAGCCTGCTTCTCCCTCTCCCACTCTCCCTGTTTGTGCTCTCTCGCCCTCTCTCTCTCTGTCAAATAAATAAAATATTTTTTAAAAAGAAGAAAACTACAATGAACACAGATACCAAAACTGCCAACAAAAGAGTTCATGAAGAAAGGGTAATCATTCCTCTCATCCCTAGTCCTTATAGAACTCAAGAACTCTAAGCTGGAGATTTGGGGACAGGTTTGGGAAACAGGAGGGATGAGAGTGGTTTCCCATTCCCTTTATGAAGTGCTTTTGGAAAACCAAAGGTTGTATTATGATCAATTAACACATGCTAGGAGGTAAAATTTATAAAAAGGATCTTATCATGGGAATCGGTAGAAACAGCAAAAAGCAAACTGAACTTTTAAATTTATTAAGAGGAAAAAGTAACAGACTGGGAGAAAAACTTAATGTCAATGAGACACAAAGGAGGTAGAGAATAAAGAAAGGAAGTAGGACATAGAGGCCTAAGGGGGCCTAGAACTAGAGGGTATTAGGGTGCATGAGTCAGGAACACATAAGGGGTCAGTAATCTAAAAAAGTCCCCTAGTCAAGCTAACCACACAATGGGAACCATACAAGTTCTGAAATTACATTTAGACCATAGCAAAGTCTAGTTATGCCTCCAAATTAACTGTATGTATTAGACCACCAGATGTTAACATGTTGTTGTGTTTTCCTTTTGAAAGAGCTGATTTTTATACATCAGTTTTTTCTTATTTTGTTACCTTGTTGAAAACATAAAATATTGGACTTTCTGTCCAAATAAGACACTTGAAAAGCCTCAAAATTTCTTTCTGTCATGTTGTCTGTGCTTCTATTGCTAACCAATAATCCTTCTGACTGACAAATTCTTTCTTTAGCTTGTTTAATACCTTCAGTCAGGTTACAGTTAAGCCTTGCTGGCCTCAGATCCTAGTGACTTTGCACATGTCTGGCCTGATCCATTATGTGTTGATGTAGAATTTAGCTCTCTGTTGTGCGCCATGTACTGCCCACATGTAATCTTCTGTCAAAAGGATTTAACAGTATCCTGAGTGAACATTACTGTGGGCCTGAGGAGGTTTGAGCAAACCTTTCTCTCCTGTTACTACATTATCTCCTTTCCCCCCTAATCCTTCCACTGTCATCCAACTGAATTGGTCATCACAACCCTAAAAAGTTTCTTCTTTTCTTTGTGAAAGGGCTGAAAGTGTGTTTATGAGGGAATTAGCACATATGGTGGAGAGGCCCATTTGGTTCTGCTAGAACATTTGCTTATTTGTATATAATTCTGTGGGGGAGCTGTAGGTTTTTGCACAAGAGCCAATCCCTGAAAAATTAAATGTTTATGGTCTACATTTTTTTCATTTAAGATCAAAATAACTTTT